GAGAGAGCACGTGTTTAGTGAAGTATTATGAATAAACTGGTCAACTGAAAAAAATTGCCTGTTGTGATTATTATGGTTAGTATTTCTATTTACATGGGTATCCATTAAAGATGGTGGTAGCCAGCAATTAAAGTACACAAACTAATTAGATTATGCGCTGGACATCAGCGAGCTTGGTTCCTTGTTTTTCTTTGGTGAGGTTTTCGTTTATGTAGATCGACGCTGTTTCTTCATAACCAATGTCGCGAAAATTGTCCTAGCATCGTAAATTTCATTTTTTTGTGCGCCTCATGAATTTGACTATTATTGTTGGTGGATGGTTGTTTTTTCAGGAGAGTTGATGTGATACATCAATGACCTCTGCTACCTTCACTGCAATGTTATCAGTGTTCTCACAGGTATGCCTGAAATTTCCAAGTTGTTTCTGCATGAATATTGTTGCAGTGCAGTGAGTTCCTCACTCAACGACTTTGTTAGGCGTCCGTTTTCAGTACGTCGTTGAATGATCTGCGTTTTGAGCTCATCAACACTATCATAGACAAAGGTAACATATGTCTGGAGTTCTGTCAGTTTGCTTTGCATTCCTGCCAAGCCATTCATTGTCTTTGTAAGAGTTGCAAATAACATACAGCAAACCCGATTTCTAGGCGTCCGTGGAACTGCCATGCAAACACCCTACTACTTTCTTACAAGAACAACCGATTTTCTTTACGTTTACCGATGATAGGAAGACCGACAGCTGTACCCTATCTGAAATGACGCCATGCCGCGGGAGTTGGAAAATTGAACCCTGTTCCTCCACTGCCGAGTGTATACTGCCGATCAGGGGAGTAGACCCTACAGTCTACGTGACTAAATGCAGAAACGGGGCATACTGTACATATTTAGCGAGAAGAAGTTGTGCTGGGTAAAATGCAACTAGTTAGAGAAAAGTGTGTAAAGTACTGAACTTAAAGATCTGCCAAGAACGACAGCTGAAATATAATTTGTGATTACTTACCGCCAATTCATCAATTGAAATTACGTTAAAATCCAAAATGTTAGAATCTAGAAAATATTAGAAATTCACTTGGCACCCACCTACCTACTACGTAGACAAGCTTTGCTGCATCATCATAAGCCAACTGTTCAGCGGCGTTTTTGCCAAGACCATACACGCCATGATCATGTTCGTCGTACATATACGGTAAATATAGAGTCGATATTGGTTCCAATACAACCAAACAATCAACCAGTCTAGCTGCGAGATACACGCTGAGTATTAACTTGATAAACACCATTGTTGACACGTGCCTGTCAAAGCTTTTGTGGAGAGTGAATCTTAACAACTAGGGAAATTAGTTTTACCATTCCTTTGCACACGATCCTTTTATATCACGTGCCACTGCGTGAAATATTTAATTATTCTACCTTACATGAGTAACGATAGATTTTGCTATCATTGACCGTCATTTTGAAACTAAAATAAGAGGGGGGGGGGCAAGGGTTATTTTCGTTCAACGTAATTGCAATATTTTTTGTTCGTACAACGTAAATTGAAAAAATAAATTCCGTAATTGTGTAATCACAGGCTAGACGTACAACGTAATCAATCAAATATTTTTTCCGTACACTGTAAAAATGTGTAATTTTTCTCGGTACGTACAAGTATTTACATCAAAATATGAGTCGTAAAGAATAATCCAGGGAAATTACATTTTTGAAACTGTAAAACGACGAGATGACACAATTCACTGCAAAATTCAATTTTCATTGTAAACTGTACAGAACGTCTTGTTTTCCTTGTAAATTGTAAAAAGCCCTTTTTATTTCCCGTAAAACTGTACCAGCTACTCCTCTTGCCCCTCCTCAAATAAGATTACTCTTGCGCTATTGTTACAGCGGGTGTCAAAATAAACTGATCATGAATAATGCTATCTTGTCGCTTAGAATATTGCGATATTCCTTCGACGATTCGTATCTGTGTTTGTTTTGACTTTAGCTCTATCAATCATACAAGTTGCTGCCCTTTGACACAACCACTGTCACTGGAAGTGCTGGTGATAAAATACAATAGTACTTTCGATACACAAGTTTCCAATGGTTTAATGAAAAGTCATAAACACCGCTAAAAATCTTCCAAGGGACTCGGATAATGCAAATCTTCCAAGAGAGATTGAGAGCGATATAGCGGTTTCCATGAACAGTTTATTGAGGCAACCGCAGTAACACTGATTTATCCATATTTTATATCATCCACCCTGATTTTGTTTATAATAATGCTGAATTTGGACATTCATGACGATTCGATCGCCATCTGAACGACATCACACCAATACATGGTATAATAAATACAGATACTGTGCAATACAGTAAGCTGAGGTGAGCGAATACATGTCTGTGAGTTGTGCGAATACAATGTTGTGATACGAGCGACTCAGGGCTGTGAGTTCAATGAATACAGGAATGATAATTGATCTAATATATAAATGTGAGATGAGAGAATATTTGGCTGTGAGTTAATCTAATGTAATGAGTTAATCAAATTCGAAGTGAATACATAGATGTGAGTTAAAGCGAGGTGTTCGAATTTCATGTAAATAAACAATGTATTTTACACGCGTTGTATACGTCGCTATGAGTCCCATATCGAACAGGGCGCGGTGCGACGACTGCCGCCCTTTAAGTGAATACAGGAACGCGAGGTGAACAAATACAAATGCTTTTACAAATACATCGAGATAAAAGTTTTACATCTCATCTGAAATTAAAGCGG